GATTAATTTGGAATTTATTATAGGTCAATTTTTTGTTTAATACCATAGATATGTATATAATATGTCTTATACATAGACTGACATACCGTCACCGCTCAGAATCGTTTTTCTTATACAATGATATTATATCATTGAATTCAAATTTAATACCATCCATTATACAGTGACCCACTTGCCCACCTTTTTAAGTATTGTTGTTTGTCATTCTCTAACGAGATTTCAATGCAAGTGTAGTCTTGTCTCTTAATATTATTATTATATTATAATATTTATTTAAATTACCGTCTTCAATTATGGAACACGACGCGCGAGTACAGATACGACAATAATGGGAAAAAAATTGAGTAAGTACTTAAAAATTATATTATTATATTAATTATTACTTACAATTTTTAAGTTATCAATGTTATGTCTATATTTACCTACATTTTGTTTAGTGAATAATTATTTTAACAATATGTAATTGCAATTTATTTATCAGATATTTATATTATTTTAGATATTTATTAGATAGGTACCCACAACACATCCTTCCTTATTTCCTATGTTCCTCTCGAACCATTCCAAATACAAAAATTAAATTTTTAAATTTTTATTATTACGTTTTCTATATATCCAACAATAAAACCAAATCCTTTAATATTAGTTCTATCTACCTAAAACCTTCAAGGATCGAAGCAGAAGCGTCCCTAGACAAGTTTCCAGTTTTTAAATGTTTATTAACTCAAATATTGAGAGGGTAAGTGTTGAGTTCAAAATTTGAATTTAAAAAAAAAAAAATTTGCTGGAAATTTTGTTTACCCAATTTCTTAAACTTAAAATCGATACGCGGTTTTTTTAGAACAGACATTTGATCTAGAGGTGTCACTTTGAAGATTTCAAGAAGATAGACCAATATTGAAGGAGCTAGTAGGTACTCCAAAATGTACAGTCGTCCGTTCCAATTTTGTATTGTTTGCTCAAATATAATATATTATATTAGAGTGAATTGACCTATTATTTTATAGGTTTAAAAATGTTTCTGGTCAATTTACAGCACTCACGCATATCTAGTGATGAAAACGACACCGTAAACGTCACAAGCTGCAGAAATTTAATTTGATCATAATTACCTACTTTCAGTTTCCACTGAATACAGTACACATACAATTGAAAAATATATACCCAGTTAAGTTATAGATGGTCGACTTTATTTGGTTGGCTTACAAAGTATATATAGGTACCTTGATATATTTCATGAAACAACACCATTACATAATTTATCGCATAGGTATTACATACATTTAGCCCAGTAATTTGTAATATATTATAATAGAATAATACTATTAATTAAAACAATGTATAATCATCATATTTCTATGTACGTAATAGTAATTTAAGTAATTTACTGTAAAAAAGTTTATAAAAAATCAACTACTATAATAGGTGGTGTATAACCATGGTCCATGAAAAAATACAGTTCGTTTAAAAAATATGAAAACAAATCACAACATCGTACTTGCATCCTACAGGCTGAGTCAAATTTAACGTTCGTCAAGCAGCAATAGCCAGGTCGCGGCGGCCGATTGTAACTAGGTACGCCCTGTATAATCCGTGTGTCGCCTCCAGTCAGTATTTCGATACCACAATATTTTATACAAACTATTGTTATGTTTCTAATAAAATTTGTAAATTATGACAGCATACTATGCTGTCAATCTACTCGGCAATCGACGTGACTAATCAACCGACCATTATAATTGTGAACAAGTAAATTTATCATGTTATTATAATATTTATTATTATTTTTACTAATTTATATAAGTGGGTACCTACTACCTAGGTAGGTAGTACTAGAACAATAGCTCATTATTTTTATATACGCGTCCAACCTACACAATTTGAAAATGTTCATCACCACTTGAACATATAACGTCTTTTTTTTTGCTTATTAAAAATAAATACGTTGTCTTACATGTATGGAAATTAATTTTGTTAGGAACTACAATATCATCATAATATAAGCAATAAGCATATAATTAAAAAAAAAAAAAAAAAATTAAACATGTACAATTGTTATTTATATCAAATAAACCAAATAATATTTATTGTAATGTTGATACATTCCATTTTTTTTTATAAAGGTAAATTTTCTTAACGTACCACTTATGAGCTTACCGCGTACCACAGGTTGAGAAACGTTGACCTAAAGTATTAGAGTGAAAAATAACTGAAGTGGAATTATGCACATTCAATTTACAATCTAGGAACCAATAAATGAGCATAAAAAATAATTGCTTAATATTTATTTCAACACTTATTTATATTCAAAATTATTATTTATAATAACTTAGTACTTTTTAACAGCAGTAGATGCTTTGTTGGTCTTTACAGCTTCTATACGAAAATTTAGTATTGAGTCTTATTGATGAGTTTAACTTAAAATAATTTTAAAGGTGTTATGTCGGTGAAAGAAATGAATACCTTAAAGACAGGGGTTAAAGTGGGGGGGGACTCAGGAGGAGCCTAACCTTTGACGGTGGTTAAAAAGCGTCCCCTTTACCAAATTAGGATTTTATACATTAGACATTATACATAAAACTATATATGGAAATCTTAAAACTATTAATTATAAGTACTAAATATTTTTATTATATTTTATTACGTTAAACTGTGGTGAGTCTTGACTAGTGAGAATAATAATACTGTAAACGACGACTTCGATTTGTTTTATAAAGTGTTTTGAACACTTCAATAATACTATTATACTTATAATCGTCATTATAGTTATTTAAATAAGCAATTACATTTTCGAATACTATGGCCAATGTGAATAAAAAGGTAAGGTACATTATTTAATATTACATTATCATTTATAACTTATAAGCTATGACTATATTGCGACCATAACGTAGGTATTCGTGTGGTTGTCAGACACTCCACTGGTGAATAATACTTATATAAATAGGGCTTACGTTACACCTATGTTCATACATGAGTCTTTTTATTTGTTTTAAATTTTATTTAAGTTCGTACTCACCGAAGGCACGATGAAGCGTAGGTATAGCTGAAAACCGTGAGCCATAGAGTAACCTGGAGTAGAAGGGCGCACCTATAACATCTAACAGCTGGTATGTGGTAGCACACACGTTTTAGAAATATTGTTATATTGTTTTCCTATCATAAATATTACGTAGATTTCAATTTTCCTGTCAAAAGTTGATTTTACCAAAGGAAATTCCGAAAAATTTCCTCTTATAATTTTCAAATTACTTGTTAATGTTTGTAGTAGTCCTGTAGCTTTGTGAAGATCAATATCTCTCTGTTGTAACAATTGTGAGACACCATCTACTTTTCTTAGTATATCACTTACAAATACCAACGTTAATACAAAGCTGAAACTTTCAAGACTTTTTACAAGTTGTTTAGCTTCTGAAATTTCATTTTTATTTTTAGACAATAATATTATTTTTGTTAAAGCTTTTAAAATATTTAGAAAATTAAATCGAATAGGAGAAATAGCTTGATGGCGTGATGACCACCTGGTAGAGCAAACTTTTTTAAGTGTTACTCCACCAACTGGTAAAATGTCAGTTAAAATTTTCCAGCGTTTTCCACTTAATGCAAAATAAACATATAGTTTTTGTATAATGGAAAAAAAATTTATATACTTTATATTATAATATTAAAATAGTTCATAACAAACCACATATTTTTGTTTATCAAATTCCTTTCAAAATTTATCAAAATAAAAGATTGAATTTTTTTATTAAACTATTATAGAATGGCAACAATAAACTACTTACAATATCAGTTGTTTCAGCAGGCGTAGATTTCACAGTCGTACTTATACATGAATTATTTCCAAGATCATCTCTATTCAAAAAATCATTTATTCGCGGGAGTATTTTTTCTTTTTCAATGCGCTGTTTTTTTAATTTTCTTTTTAAACTTCCACTCAAATATACACGTTTAGACATTATTAATAAAAAATAATAATAAATAAATAATAACTTAATATATATAATTTGTATGTAGTAGACAACCCGACAGGCGACAACGAACGTGTCGTACAAAATACAAATCATAATAGATTAAACAAACTGCGAAGCCTACATGATGGTGGCTGCTTTAGAAACAATATTCTTAGAATAGCTTATCTATATAACAAACTGTCCGTTTGAAACACCAGTGACGTTTATTATTAGATATTAATATACAAGATGTCAAGATAATGAACGTTACCTCCGCGTACATATTTTTTCGTTTCGTATTTTAGATCAAATTTTTTTCTACGTAAATATAATTTTTAAAAAAAATTTTCAGTATTTTTTTTATGTAATATTGACTTGTGGCCCCCGACTTCGACACACCTAGGGGGCCCCGGCCTAAATACGCCCCTGACAATATTACTAAACATTCCAGAAATAAATGTTATCAATTTATTAACAGAGAGAAAAGAGTTTGGTTTAAAAATAAAATGTAATAAAAATTAATTATGATTTATGACTTATGAGTTATGACTATAGTCTATATAGCCATATAGATGAGATGATTGTACATTTGTACATGATACTAAAATAGGTCTATTACAATAATAATTGAATCATATGAATTGAATATGGTTACAAAAAATTAATTA